CCTCCGCGCGTCATGCGGCTGGGGCTGCAGGGAGCCGCGGCGAGGGCTCAGCCCCCTCCCTTCTCCCTCCCTCTCTGAATATTCATCGCTTCCTCCCGCCCCGGTCGCCGGGCGGCGGCACAGCTCCGCAGCCCCTCACCGCCCTCCCGCCGCAGCCCCCGCCCCCACCGAGCCGGCGGCGCGCGGCGGGGAGGGGGCGGCGGCGTGCCCCGCGCGCGCCCTGGCGGCTCCCCTCCGGCGGGCAGAGGAAGCGCCCCCGCCTCGCCCGCCCCTCCGCCCAGCCCTCCCACATTCCTGGGACTTGGGACCCGGGACACGGCTCCATTGCTCTAGCGCCTCCAGCCCGTACCCCTCAGTACTGGCTGCCCAGCCGCTGACCAGATCCATAGCCCCGGGTTTGGGTCACTAGACGTTGACCGAGACGCCTGCTGAGAGCACAGCCAAGCCTGCTTCTAGGCAGCAATCCGGCCGGGGCATTCTTAACCTTGGCCCATGGGTGGGCTGGGAGTGCACGAACCCCGAAATTGTAGAAGGCGTGCTGTATGTTGTGTTCGCCCCATCCCTGTCCCTGGGGAGAATAGTGATTAGCTGTGGCAAGTGGCAAGCCGGGCTCTGCTAGTAGTACTAGCTGTGTGAGCTCCAGAGAGGGATTCACCTCTCTGGGCCTGCCTCTCCTCCTGTGTGAAATAAAGATAATACTACTACCTGTGGAGAGAGACTTGGCTGATGATTAAAGGAGGTTAATGGTTAGTGAAGTCCTGAACACCTGGCCTGCTTTCATGACATTGTCAGAGTTCCGTGACTTGACAGGAGGAAAGATGACTGAAGATGTTACTACTGTGCCGGCGCCCAGAGAAGAGAGCTGAGGACCAGGGAGGGTAAGCACCGGCCCAGGGAGAAGAAGTAATGAAAAAAAGGGCCAAATCACAAAGTGGTAGGAAGGGAGAGGTTAATTCCAACCAGAGGGAGAGGTGACACCTGAGCTGGGCTTTGAAGGATGGGTTGAATTTCACCAGGCTGAGGGGAGAATGTCTAAGGAAGTGGGAGCAACTAGGCAAAAACTAGGAGGCAGGTACTTCAGGCTTGGACTTCTGAGAAACAGGAATAGGAGGGTGGGGAGTTAATATCTAGGGTAGACTTCAAAGGCCAGAATAATAAGGCCAGGCTGGATTCTGTGTGAGCAAGAGGCAGACCACCAAGCACCCGCCCCATGGGCCTCAGGTCACCCGTTAGCGCCGTGGGAACACACCTTCTCCCACCAGACAACACACACAGACAAGACAACCCTGTTGACTTATACATCTTACCATGTTTTGTTTAAATGTTGTGTAATTATCATAATTCACAAGGTTTCTGTTCCTCTCCACCCCCTCCCCTTCCTGAGGCAGACACACAAGTGCTTTATTTTATTTATTTATTTATTTATTTTAGATACAGTCTCACTTTGTCACCCTTGGTAGAGTGCTGTGGCATCACAGCTCATAGCAACCTCCAGCTCCTGGGCTTAGGCAACTCTCTTGCCTTAGCCTTCTGGTGGGGACTACAGTCACCCACCATAACACCTGGCTATTTTTTTTGTTGCAGTTTGGCCCTGTCCAGGTTTGAACACACCACCCGCAGTATATGGGGCCCGCGCCCGAGACACAACTCCTTTAAAAGGTGTTCCTGTCCACGATACCCAGAGGGAAGGAAAGCTCAACTTAAGATGCCACAAGGTCTGCTGACCGTCTCAGATATTCACAGATGCTATAGACCCAGATTCATGGCTTGAATCAGCAAACAGCTCTGTGAACTCCTGATGCACTTTAGTTTTCTCCTGGGTGAAATGTATGCCCATGCTTAAGTGTTGGTTAGGACCAGATTTCCCCACTGCATGGTGATAAAACTGAATAAACAGCCTTTTCAGTAAAGGGAGTTAATGCCTAAATAATAAACTACCTCTTCAGTCAGAAGCAGATCACACTGGATTAATGACCTCTGTGAGAAATGATATTAATCCTGAGTAGGTATGATGTAAACTCCCCAAGGGCAGGGGCTGAGCCCTCCTCCCCTTGGTGGCCCTGCCACCTCTCACTCATGCCTTACACACACCAATACCTGAACACCTGCTTAGCTGCATGATTGTATAAATACATCAGGAGGTACCATGATGTCAAAGTTCATTTTTCCTTGAAGATGAATGAAGAAAAGATCATTTCCTTTGCAAAAAGATGTAAGACTAAATTCCAGTTTATAGGCCTCTCCCTTGGATGTCATTTCCCAAGAATTTCCCAAGTGCCTAGACCTTGAGTTGGGCACATTTCTCCCCCATCCACTTGTAGCTCACTTTGCTTGATCTT